GCAAATGTTTTGAGAATGATGACGGCAACCAATGTACAAATGTGCTTGACCCAATGGATGGATGGATGGATGGATTGTGATAAGAGTTGTACAAGTCCCCAATAAAATGATTTAAAAAAGAAAAAAAAATGAGATCATGTCCATAAAAGTATACTGACAACTGAAACGTGAAGATGACTGTCATTCTTTACGTAAAAACAAGTCTAGTTTAGTTCCAGAAGAACAAAAAAGGATGAATAACCCAACTTCAAAACTGATCAGAGGACATGAACAGGCAGCTCACCAAAGCAGATACTCAAGTGGCTAATGAACATGAGGATCAGAAGCTATTGGAGTGATGCAAATCAAAACCCTGAGCGACCCCCTCGCCCCAGAATCAATAACAAAGTCCAGAAAAGCAGAACAGTGCTGGTGGGACTCCACAACTGTACAGCCACTGTGGAAGTCAGGGTGATGCTTCCTCAAACTAGCGAGCTACTTGGTATATACACCGAAAAAACAAACTCACTGCCATCGGTCCATGCTGCCTCATAATGACCCTCCAGGTAGACAAGGTAGAACCGGCCCTGTGTTGTTTCTGAGACTGTAACTCTTTACCGGAGTAGAAAGCCTCATCTTTCTTCCAAGGAGCGGCTGGGGGGTTTTGAAGTGCTGACCTTGCAGTTAGCAGCCCAACGCTTAACCACTGTAAGGAACATACTGTGAACAAATATACACATTCATGTTCATCACAGCACTATTTATAATAGCAAGGAGATAGAATCAACCTAAATGTCCATCAGTAGAAAATCTCATCAACTTTGGGACAGAAACACAATGGAATACTATACGTTGCTAAAGAATCATGATGGCACACCTCAGGACATGATGGGTTTGGAGGACATTATACTGAATGAAGTTAGCCAATCGCAAAAGGACAAGTATGAAACCACTGGTATAAAAATAAAAGAATCAAAAGGGGAAAGAGAATAGGTTAGACTAGAGGTTGGCAATCTGTGGCTCTCTTTCAGTATGTACATGTGGCTCTGAAGTAAAATTGAACAAATTTAAAGGATATTATTCAAATAACAGTGATTTCATTTGTAAAAATATATTATGGCTCTCAAATAATTTTTAAATTGTTGTCAGGGGCAGGACTGGCTCTTCTGTCTCAAAAGTTTGCCGATCCCTGGGCCAGAGGGATCTTTAAAAGTAAACTCACTGCCAATGAGTCAATTCTGACTCATAGCGACTTTATGGAGAGAGAAGAACTGTCCCTGTGGGTTTCTAAGTGTGTACATGTTTATGGGAGCGGAAAGCCTCATCTTTCTCCCTTGAAGTGGTTGGTGGGTTCTAAGTGCTGACCTTGTAGTTAGCAGCACAATTTGGTAGATAGGGCTAACTTGGATGAAGAGGAAGACAATTTCGACGAGAGACATGGCCATAAAAACATTGGGGGCAGGGAATAGGACAAGCCAGGGGGAAGTGTGATTAGTTGCTTAAAATTTTGAATGTAAAAATGAAGATCTGATATATAAACCTCCATGTAACTCACAATTTTTAAAAACAGAGAAATTCCTGTGGCATTGTGCAAAAACCCTATTCTTGGCCTCATAAATACCAATAAATCCTATGGGGCAGTTCTACACTGTCCTGCAGGTTCATCCAAGTCAAGAAAGCTACTGTGGTATTTTTTGTTTTTAACACAAATGCCCTTTAATATCATTCCAACTCCTTGGTTCATTTCTCTGTTCATTCAAAATTTATGATAATCTATGACTAGCCCCTTTCTTTGACTCTATCCTGTCACCCCTCAAAAAGGGAGTACCCTATACAAATGAAGACTGGCTATTTGGCCAATTTATAAATTAGCAACCTGGCTCATAACTTGGTATTTTAATATTGGTTTAGTGTGATTTTTATTCTCTAGATCCCAAAATTAATTGATGAAACTTTTCTTTAACCCTTTAAGTTAGATCATCAGTTTACTAAGATCTTAACACCCATAAGCCTCTGCATTAATCAGAGAAGTTATTTCAGAATAAAAAAATATCAAAAATCCCTTTTTTTGGATGGAAATGAAAACAAAAAATAAAAAACTGAATACAGAAGATAGAACAAGAAAGCACCTTGAGAAACAGAGGAAAGAACTAGGAAGCAAATCTATGGATAGAGGTATAAAACATAGGTGTGCACTTATGTAAATATATTAATTCATAAAATAGAGGTATTGACCTATTACATATATTTATATGGCAATACGTTGAGGAAGTGGACAGACTTTGGGCCTCTGCTCATGCCCTTCCTCCAGGCAAGAACACTTTTATTCTAACAACCTGACATTCTGTGATGCTCACTCTCCCGACAAGATCACTGATGACAAAATGTGGTGAAGAAAGCTGATGGTGCCTGGCTATCAAAAGATATAGATAGCATCTGGGATCTTAAAGGCTTGAAGTTAAACAAGCAGCCATCTGGCAGAGAAACGACAAGTACACATGGAAGAAACACACCAATCTGTGCGATCATGAGGTGTCTTGTCCACTGAATCAGGTAACAGGCACCAGAAGACCCCAAACATATTATTGAGAATGAGAGGGTTGGGGGGTCATAGCAGAGACCCAAAACCCATCTAGTGGCAATAGGGCATCCCCTCACAGAAAGGTCAGAAGAAAGGGATGAGTCAACCAGGGTGCAGTACAGCACCGATGACACACAATATTCCTCTGATTCTTTGAGGCATCCTCCCCACTATCATGACCCCAGTCCTGCCTTTCAGTTCTGGTTAGACCGGTTCATTCTGGTTAGACTGGAGCACGTACACTAGTACAGATAAGGAGCTCATGACACAGAATCCAGGTCAGATAAACCCCTCAGGAACAGAAATGGGAGTAGCCACACCAGGAGGGTAGGGGGAAGGTGGGGGAGGGGTGTGGAGAGGAGAGGAGAGAAAGGAGGAACCAATTGCAATGATAGACGCATAACCCCCTCTCCCCATTGGGATAAACAACAGAAATGTGGGTGAAGAGAGACAGTGGTAGGTGTAAGATATGAAAACAATAATTTATAATTTATCAAGGGGTCATGAGGGTGTGGGGTGGGGGAAGGAGGGAAAAAAGAGCTGATACCAAGGGCTCAAATAGAAAGTAAATGTTTAGAAAATGATGGCAACATATGTACAAATATGCTTAATACAATTGATGTATGGAATGTTATAAGAGCTGTAAGAGCCCCCAATAAAATTGATTTTTTAAAAAGGAGCACTTTGAATTTTTTTGTCTATGTATCTGAATGTAAAATATAGGCTGTCTTTAAAAATCCAGCCACTGGCATATACAATTCTTGTGAAAAGAAATGCCAATTAGTTCATTACAATAGCAAAGACTTTAATAAAGTCAGTATGTTATACTTATTTCAATAGCCATTCCAAAGATCGTTATTTTATAAACAACTTGAATAACCATGCCAAAGATTCTTGTTTTGGTAAATAAATAAATAAATAGTGTTTGCAGTTAACCATAAAGGTGCTACTCACAGTATAGCATAGTTCTACGTTTATAGATTGGAATGCATCTTATTTTTAAGCAAGGCACTCAACAAGCCGGTTTCCCCGCTTCAGTTTTTGAGATTAAAATAAAACGTCCTCAAGAAAGACCAATGTACTCTAAAGAAATCACCCAGTGAATAGCCACTGGGTGATAGCCCGTTTTGTAGGGGCGCCCATCAATGATCTAGGCGCCTAGTTGCTCCCATCGTTTGGAGAAGCCGCCGTCTCAGGACGCCTCAGGCAATTTCTCACTTCTAGGCAATTCCTCCTACAGAAAAGTTTTCCCCACTTCTGTAGGAAATCCCTCCTACACTATCAATCGGACTTTTGGCCTGAGCCCCGTCGTGTTTGAAAGCACAAGTCTCAATCTTCGGTGTCCCCCGATGTTCTCAGGGGTGCGGATGGGCAGGCGTTGGCTATGGGTCGCGTTGGGCACGTGGTGACAAGGGGGCCTGGAACACAACATGCACCCCGACCTCTCCTCGGAGAAGAAGCGACCCGACGTGGGTTTATCAAGCCCCTGCCAAGGGTCCTTCCTGGGAAGTTAGAGACTCGACGAGCCCTACTGACTCTCTCAGTTCATCTAACAGCCCCCTCGCCCCCAAGTCCTCAGAGGCCCGCCTCTCCTCAGGGGTCCCGTACCCTCCTGGGGGCGGTGACTGCCAACGCCCCGAGGGCCAGAAACGGCTCCCTAATCCGCTCGCTGGGTCCCTCTCTCCCCACAATGCACCGGGGCCAGCAGGAAGGCCGCTCCGACCCCTAATTTTCCCGCGAATTCAGTTCAAAGAGGCGGCCGGGCCCGCGATCGGCAGCGCGCACGGGCCAACCAAGCCGGGCCGCCGGGAG